TGTTCTTAACATCTGCTTGTTCATGAGGCCTTTTAACTTGCATGCCTTCTCTGACTTTCCTCTCACCTGGATCAGTGCCATCACCTATATTCTCTCTACTCTCTGAACCTGTCTGGTGCTTAGCTATTGGAGCATGATGACAGATTGACTTGTCCTGTTCCCACACAAGATTTCAGATGCCATAAGGCAGGACCATGCTTGTCAGATTGATATCTACCACGTCTAGCTGGTTCTGGCACATACTAGACAGGTGCCCAGTTATGAGAAGCATGTAACATGATGCCTAAGAGTCCAGGCTCTGGATCCAGACTCCAGATGTACTACTAACTGACTGGGTAACCTTGGGTACATTACTTGACCTTTCAGTGCTTCCGTTTCCCAATTTATAAACCAGGGATGATGACAGTGCCTAGCTTAGGTGTTTCTGTGAGAATTAAAAGAGGAAACTAGTGGCAGGTGATGTAGGGATTAAGAGTGTGGCCTCTGAAGCTGAGTCCTGCTCTGCTGCTTACTAGTAAGTCTGTGACCTTGAGCACATTTCTGTGCATACATTTCCTCATCTATAAAATGGGGTTGTGATACTAATAGTATTATAGTGTAGGGTTGCTGTAAATATTGAGTTAACGAATGAAAAATGTTTACTGTAATGTGTGGCAGTAAATATTCAATTAGTGCTTGAGTGACTAGATTAGAAAATAGTATAGAGTTGTTTATCAGGCATATCAGGAATTTAGACATACTTTAGCCAGTCCTCGAGCAAGCAATCTCATTGATAACTCTAAATGGAGGTTACAGTCAAATAGTTTTTAATCCCCAAATAATTTTCAGGGACATTGACTATGTCTTTTACATCTCAACTCTGAGTGACTTATTGTTCCCTAATTACCAGGTGTTTTTATTCAAAGACTAGAGGCCCGATGCATGAAATTTGTGCAAGAGTAGGCATTCCTCCCTAGCTGCTGGCACCAGCCTCCCTCTGCCTGCTGGCACCAGCTTCCCTCCAGCACCCAGGACCCGGCCTTCCCTTGCAGCCCAGGCTTCGCCTGGAAGGTCATCCAGAAGGACATCTGGTCTAATTAGCATATTAAGCTTTTATTATTATAGAAGCCTGTGGTCCAAGGGGTCGGAAGTACTTACTTAGAACAAAAACAGGGTTGATAATTTGAAGAAAGCAAAAGATGGAAATTTCTGAACAATGAAAACTGAGGAAATGTTGATTTTAGCACATAGGAATAGGGTGCAGATGCTATGTGGAATAGCATTTGCTTCATGTTCAAGGACAAAATCTCACTCAGTTTAGTCTTTGCACAGTTCTTCAGCCTATATCTGTAGTTTCCATTGTGTCTTGTTATGTGTTCCCCAAAAAAGACCCTGGACATGGATTCAGATGTGGATGTTAATTTGAGAAGTGATCGCAAGAAGCACAAGAAAGATTATAGGGAAAGTGAAGCAGGAAAGGTGCCAGTAAAAGGTACTTTAATAAATAGATTTCTACTAACATTTAAAATTACAAAACTGAATTCTTTTTTTCTTTTTCTTTTTTAATATATTTTATTGATTTTTTACAGAGAGAAAGGGAGAGAGAGAGCTAGAAACGTCGATGAGAGAGAAACATCGACCAGCTGCCTCCTGCACACCCCCCACCAGGGATGTGCCCGAAACCAATGTACATGCCCTTGACCGGAATCGAACCTGGGACCCTTCAGTCCGCAGACCGACGCTCTACCACTGAGCCAAACCGGCTTCGGCCAAAACTGAATTCTTGAAAAAAATCTGAACCAATTTTTCTATCAAATTTCATCTCAAGTAAGGGCATCCTCCCAGTTGTTCTGGCAGAATTCTTGGAGCCATCCTTAACTGCTTACCTTCTTATCCCCTGCAGTCAGTCCATTAGAATCCTAATGACTGCCTTTATCTCCCCTGCTGCCACCTTGGCCCGGCACCATAGCAGCTCATGCATCATTGCAATAGACTCCTAGCTGGTCCCGGCTGCCGTCATGTCTCGCATCATTGCAGCAGCACTCTAGGTGGCCTTCCAGCTGCCACTCTTTCCCTTCTTTCCATGGTCCATTCTCAACAATGTAGCCAGAGCAGTCCTTGTAAACATAATTCCTCTGCTCAGAATCTCCCCATGACTGCCCAATAAAAAGTTAGTTCTTCCATGCGTCCACCCAGCCCATGCACAGCCTCTTCTCATGCTTCTCTGACGTCATCCTCCAGGCCTCCCTTGGCTCTCACCTCCATCCCTGCGGTTATCTTGACTCTCCCCTCTGCTTGTAATGCTCTTCCTCAGTGACCATCCTCATGGCTCATCTTTGCCCCTTCAGGTCTTCTCAAATGCCGTTTTGTTGAATGAGTGAATAAATGGTAACGTAACAATTACTGCTTTCTCATTTAATTCTCATGGTAGCATTGTTGAGGCCCAGAGGTTGATTAGCCTAGAGCACTTCCTTTCACACTATCTTGACTCTGGCTCACAGGAAGGAGTATATTATACATCCCAACCCAGTACTTGCTTGCATGTTTGGATGTGTGTACATAGAAGCAAAACAGAAGTTCCACAAGATCTTAGTTAGCCTTACTACACTCTGACATTTTTCACTTTGCCCTAGTCATTTTATTACTAGTTTTACACCACTAAATTGATTTTAAGCAACACCTTTGAAAAATACTCGTCCAAGCTTTTGATTCTTAATCTGTTGTTTTTCCCTGTGGCAACATCTGACCAGCTTTCTCAAAAATCATTAGCATTAAAAACTGTTCTGTACTCGGCTAAGTTGCTAAATGTGTTATTATAAGCTTATCTCTCTCTCTGCTGACCTGTATAAGAGATGACAAGAGTTTCTTTGCACATAAATAGATGTGTGATAATAAAGACAGTACAGTAGAGCTAAAGGAGAAATTAAGATGGCTAACAGAATGGGGAAAAGAAGGGAAAATACCTTTATCAAGCAATCACAAATACAGGCATTAACATTTACCACTGATATGAATGGTGGCAGTCAGAAATGAACTGAAAATCAGTAAAGTCTAACTGAGGAGAGTGAGTGGACAGGCCACAGGCTTTGTCCCCGAAAGCAAAGCCATGCCTTTGAGTTGGTTAAATTAGCACCAGAACAGGGAGTCAGAAGAATGTTACGGACATGGTATAGGATTCTTGATCGCTCCAGGTTGGTAACTTACCAGACTCTTCTTGTGGGCTCTTCTGAAGATGCCAGATCTGGTTGACTTGCAAAGACTTGTCCTTTGAAGCCAGGGGAGAACCTGCACCTGTGCTGGGTGTGGAGTTTGGTACATCCACAACTTGCCCTCTAGAGAATGATAAAACTGCCACAAGTAATCTTAGTTATTTTAATTTGATTTAATATTAAAAATAAATATCATAAGTCTTTTAAAGAAAAAATGGCATTATAAAATCAAACCAAAGAGATGAGGTGTTACAGTGACATTATATCTTTATGAAATGGCTTTCTTTGTTCAAACCATGGGTGGGTTCAAGTGAAACCCCCCTCCCTTTTTTTGATACTGAGTTAAATGCCTATTAATCCTGTGATTTCTGAAAATAAATTGCACATAATTTGTCAAATTCTTACTGTGTATGAGATGCTAGCTCACCTCATCTTTACAACAACCTTAAAGGAGGGCGTGGTCCATGCTCCCATTTCAGGTGGGGGACCTGATAATCAGGCTAATTGACAGCAAGGGAGGAGCCAGCTTTTGAACCCCAGCTTCTTGGGCAGAGCCTGGACCCAACCACTAGGTTGTCTCACCTTTCGATTTGAGGAGAATGTCAGGTAAATCCCAGTTCAATCCCTTAATTTTGAATTAGTAATAATTTAGTTTAGACTCAAACCAAAGTTTCCTTTATGCTATGGTTGAACATGTGATTTGGTAAGAAAATAATATTCAGGAGAATGAAAGGTGTTTAGCATACATAAGAAAACAAATTATTATTTTATTTAACATTTCTAACCTCTGTTAAATAGTAATTAGGATACATTGGTCATTAGCAAATGATTTTTCACTTTCCAAATTTATGCATATTTTTAAAGTTTTGGTAAGACCTCTACTTTGCAACTTATTGTTAAATCGAATTGCTAGTGAATATATCCAGTAGTGTGGGCCAGAAGAAACTTCCTTCTACCCTCGATTTTCTGGGCTGGCCGAATCAAATCCACCTGAGACAGATTAACACCAGCAAAAAACCAAATGTAATTACATATGGGAACCCTGCATAGATGAGAGGTCCAGAGACACTGGGGAAATGAGGTATATGTGATATTCTGAGCTAAGGATGAGGTAAGGTACCAGGGGGCTTCAGAGGAGAGAAGGTTCATTGTAGGATGATAAGAAGAGCAGATATTCAGTAATTAGTAGTTTGTCCTGTCATATAGAGAGGACAAAAAGGTTAACTGATAATCTCCTTATGGACACGTCCCTAATTCAATTCTTCTAGGTTGCTCAGAAGGCACCATTTCTCTTGGGGTATCTGTTGCCTTTAATAATCCACATACCTCAGAAGCACAACTTGGGTGACTCGTTCTGAACCCTGACATAGTAATAAAAGGACTTCCTTTCAGAATTATAGATGTCAGGCATTTCAGTACATCACAACTCCTTCTCTGAACTAATAAGAATAGAATCAAACAGGAAATGGATAAGGACCCTAAATAATAAACCAGTATTTTTAAATATCACTTCCTTACATACCTGCTATAGTCAAACAGTCTTTTAATGGTATAAAAATGGCTGTGTTACAGTCTGTAGTTTCTAAAATGCTTCAGTTTTAATAGTAATTGATGATCTATTTATACCATGAGACCTGTTTCCTCATATTTTCCGTGTTATTTAAATAAGATTGTTTATACAAAAGCTTTTGTGTGCTAAATATTGGAACCTCTGAAAAGACAGTTAGTTAATGTTCCCAGCCTTTTCGGAGCATTTCACTTGGTGGAGAGCTTTTCACAGTGTTGTTCATAATCTTATACTTTGTCTTGCAGATAAGCCCACGCGATGGAGGGACTACAGCATTATATCAACCCAGCACATGCCATCTCTCTCCTGAGCTCACTCAACGAGGAGCGCCTCAAAGGACAGTTGTGTGACGTGCTTCTGATTGTTGGAGACCAGAAATTTCGAGCTCACAAAAATGTCTTGGCTGCTAGCAGTGAATATTTTCATAGTTTATTCACAAATAAGGAGAATGAATTGCAAACTGTATTCCAGCTTGACTTTTGTGAACCAGATGCTTTTGATAACGTTTTGAACTACATTTATTCCTCATCTTTGTTTGTCGAAAAAGGCAGCCTTGCTGCTGTGCAAGAACTAGGCTATAGTCTCGGGATTTCCTTTCTGACCAACATCGTTTCTAAAACACCTCAAGGACCCTTTCCAATGTGTCCCAACAGAAAAAGAATATTTGTAGAACATGATGAAAACAGTTCTCAAAAGAGAAGTGTCATTGTCTGTCAAAGCAGGAACGAGGCACAAGGGAAAGCCGTTAGTCAAACTCCACCCGAAATAAGCCATACTCCCCAGCCCTCCCCAAACATTGCGGTCAAGGCCAATGCCAGTAAGCCACAGGTTTCCAAACCAGTCGAGCCACTTCACGATATGTCATTGACTGAAAAGAGTTGGCCAAAAGATGGTTCTGTGGGATACACAAAGTCTCTTGAGTGTGCTGGATCTTTGGATGATGCTAACAGAAGCAGCCTGGCGAAAAGGAATGCAGTCCTGTCTTCCGCCCCTCTGCAAGACAGAGAGGCCGTGGATGACAAACCAGGTGGAGGCAGTCAGCTGCCCAAAGGAAAAGCTATCGAGCTGGCTCTGAAAAGGCCCCGGCCACCTGTTCTGTCTCTTCGAAGCTCATCAGAGACTCCCTATCTATTGAAAGAAACCAACAGAGGAAATGGCCCGGGCGAGGACAGAAACTTGTTGTACTATTCCAAGTTGGGCTTGGTGATCCCGTCCAGTGGGCCTGCTTCTGCAAACCAAACCATTGACAGAAGCGGCCCGCTTGTGAAGAGTCTCCTGCGACGGTCACTGTCGATGGACAGCCAGGTTCCCGTCTACTCGCCCTCAATAGATTTGAAATCTTCCCAGGGGTCGTCTGCAGTGCCAAGCGATGCACCGGGGAATGTGTTTTGCGCTTTACCTCAAAAGTCATCTTTAAAAGAGGGGAGTGAAAAGCCAAGCCCAGATGATGGGACTCCTGCTGCCCAGCCCCACCGCCTCCGGTCCTTCAGTGCTTCTCAGCCCACAGAGAGGGAGGGCGCACCCCCTGCTGCTGAGGTCCGAGTCAAGACGGAGCCCCGCAGCCCATCCGCGGATCCCTCCGACATCATCCGGGTCACTGTGGGAGATGCCGCCGCCACCGCCACCACCGCGGCATCCGGCTCGAGAGACCCTCCTCTGAAAACAGAAGACGACCAGAAAGACATGAGCCGACTCCCGGCGAAAAGGAGGTTTCAGGCGGACCGCAGGCTGCCCTTGAAGAAGTTAAAGGTGGACGAGCACGGCTCCCTGGTGTCAGAGGATAACCTCGAGGAAGGCTCAAGCCCCACACTCAAAGCAGACTTCCCAGATTCGGACTTGAGCAAAGATGAATTTGGTGAGTTGGAGGGAACAAGACCAAACAAAAAATTTAAATGCAAACATTGCCTTAAGATCTTTAGATCAACAGCAGGTCTTCACCGGCACATTAACATGTACCACAACCCAGAAAAGCCCTACGCCTGTGACATCTGTCACAAGCGGTTTCACACAAACTTCAAGGTGTGGACCCACTGTCAGACCCAGCACGGCATAGTGAAGAACCCGTCACCGGCCTCTAGTTCACATGCCGTCCTGGACGAAAAGTTCCAAAGAAAGCTGATTGACATAGTGAGGGAGAGGGAGATTAAGAAGGCCCTGATCATTAAGTTGAGGCGCAGCAAGCCCGGTTTTCAGGGGCAGAGTAGTTCCCCGGCTCAAGTCATCAAGAGGAACTTGAGGTCGCGAGCCAAAGGCGTGTACATTTGTACTTACTGTGGAAAGGCCTATCGCTTTCTCTCTCAGTTCAAACAGCACATAAAGATGCACCCCGGAGAGAAGCCTCTCGGAGGACACAAGGTCGCTAAGCCGAAAGCTCTGGCTCCTGACGGTCCGGTAGCGAGCAAGGAGGTTTTCCAGTGCCGCCTCTGTAACGCTAAGCTCTCTTCTCTCCTAGAGCAAGGCAGCCACGAGCGACTGTGCCGGAACGCCACCGTGTGCCCCTACTGCAGCCTTAGGTTCTTTTCGCCCGAGCTCAAGCACGAGCACGAGAGCAAGTGTGAGTACAAGAAGCTGACGTGCCTCGAGTGCATGCGCACCTTCAAGTCCTCCTTCAGCATCTGGCGGCACCAGGTGGAAGTGCACAATCAGAACACCATGGCCCCCGCCGAAAACTTCTCCTTGCCCGTCCAGGACCACAACGGGGAAGTCAGCAGCTCCTCCAAGCCCCAGGCCCAGCCCGAGCCTCAGAAAGCAAACCACGTGGTCACCCCGAAAGACGACAACGCGTTCAGCGACTGCTCGGAGCAGGTCAACTTCGACTCGGAAGACTCCTCCTGTCTTCCCGAAGACCTCAGCGTTTCGAAGCAGCTGAAGATCCACGTCAAAGAGGAGCCCGCGGAGGAAGCCGAGGAGGTGGCGCCCGAGGCCAGCACCGCTCCCAAAGAAGCAGCTTCCGGTAAGGACCCGGGCCTGTGGCCCTGTGAGAAGTGCGGCAAGACGTTCACCTCGCACAGGCAGCTGGAGCGGCACCAGGAGCTCCTGTGTTCCGTGAAACCGTTCATCTGCCACGTCTGCAACAAAGCTTTCCGCACCAATTTCCGGCTCTGGAGTCACTTCCAGTCCCATATGTCTCAGGCCACAGAGGACTCAGCGCATAAAGAATCTGAAGCGTGCCCAGCTCCCACAAACTCTCCGTCGCCGCCACCTCTGCCCCCACCGCCGCCGCTGCCCAAGATCCAGCCCCTGGAGCCCGACAGTCCAACGGGGCTGTCTGAAAACGCAGCCCCGGCCACGGAGAAACTGTTTGTGCCCCAAGAATCAGACACACTTTTTTACCATGCCCCGCCCCTCTCAGCCATCACATTCAAACGCCAGTTTATGTGTAAACTCTGCCATAGGACATTCAAGACCGCCTTTAGTCTTTGGAGTCACGAACAAACCCATAATTAAAAGACCTCCCCTCTTCCCCGTAACGAAACGGGGGCGGCCTCCAGATTTCAGCCTAAGTTGTGAAATGTGTCATATAAAACAAAAATATTTTTTACAAAATAATAATAAAGGTTGGAAATTGTTACGCTTAAGTATAAGTTTGAGGTAAACTAATATTAATGACTAATGTCTACCCAACTTAGGAAAACACTTAAAAAAAATACTGTGTTTCTGGACCTTCCAGTTACAGGACAACTTGACTTCATTAATGTTGAAATTGATTGGTCTTGGTTGTTTGCATGATTCCTCATCCCACAGTGTCAGTTTACTCTTTAATTGAGGTGGTTTTGTTTTCTTACTGATTTGCAACTAGTGAAATACTATTAAAGGATTTCTGCTTTTAATTATATCAGACACATAAGTTCTAGTTAAATCTCAGCCATGTTCTTAAGTCCCAAAACTTACCTGGAAGAAGTGGAGTAGTTTGCAGTGTTGATTTAGGTCTTCAGAATACTCTAGCAATAAAAAAAGTGATAAACCTCAACTTTAAGAAGTTATCCTGACACTTGATAAAAATATTTGACATTTCGTGGTCATGTAGAACTTTTCGTATGAAAATTGTGAGAAAGTTAAATCAGCAATAGTAATATTTAGACTTTTATAAAATAAAAACTTTCTCTTGGGTCACTTGGTGGAGTTATTGCTGGAAGACTCGGCAGATGAAAATACTAGCATTTCTGGGAGGCCCCTAAGGTCAGTTTACAAAAGCTTCAGTGGGGACACGTGTTGTGTGACCAGATTGCTGCTGTGCTGTGTCCACACCACAGTGCAAGGTCAGTCCAGCACTGAAAGGACTTAGATGTTTGGTTTCCTCTGGCTTATGTTGCCACAAGTTGAAAATCTGAGTGTATTTGGGATGGAGATAACGTGGCACTAATTTTGAAATTAATTTTAGTATTACAAAAAGGTCAGGACCTATATTTACAGTCAGCCCAGGGGCTCTGAATCCTGAATTACCATTCACTTCCAGAGACATGAAGCAGAGGGAGAAACACCACACTGCAGTCTCCACATGCTTTTCAAAAACGATATTGACAATATACAGTTTCCTACCTCTTTGTCTTGTGATAAATTCTATTAGAATTGGTTGGAGTTGGTCGTGGTAAAGCGTCCACATGGTGAAACCGTCTTGCTTCAAGTCACTGCTTAGCATCTCCTACATAGCTGTTTAAGTACTCTCAAGGACCCAACATTTGTTTTGTTTGTTTTTTTACTTATTTTGGCCCATAAGGTTAGAGTTTTTTTTTTTTTTTTTCCTATTTCATATGAGTTGTAATTAAAAGCCTTTCCATAGGTGTTATCCAGAGTTCCAGGGGCTGTTTCAAAAGGTACAATTTTTATGTTACTTGTGTGGGGTCGTCAGATATATAAAAGTAGAAAAATTGGAGAAACTACAAAAACCTTTTAAGGTGATGTGGATTAAGACTCCCAAGTTTATTAATTTTTTTTTTTACAAGCTATTCTTTCAAAAAAGAAAAATTAACTACTGTGACTAAGAAATAGTATGCTGAGTACTTAAATTTGTGCTGTAGCAGAAAAGAACTGTCCTTATCAAACTCATTACCCACATTCCAGACCAAAGGTAGGAAGGACAGTCTCTTTATTTGAAACACAAACATTTCAATAAAATATTAATTGATTTTTATGGAAATTACATATGAAATTTTGCCTATTTTTTTTTCATTTGAAAACTCAAAAGTTCTAAAATATTTGAGTGGTTACTTCCTGTTTCTGTTCTTAAATTTGATAGTGAAAGGAAAATAAGTTACAATTAATTTTATTTTAATTATTATTACCATCTTTATATTTCTTAAAGAAGTCTGCATTTTAGAGACAAAACTAAAGCATACAATTTAATGTCAAACATTAGGATAGATTATTGTCCATTGAGTTCATTCCCTGTATGATGTGGTATTTCTTACTCTGAACACCTTGGTAGCTATCTCTTCAGTAGAAGACAGTTTCCCTTAGAGTAATCATTACTTATGGCTGTTTGAATATCTAATAAATCCTTGACACACAGTATCTTGGCATTGTAAATTCAGCATCCCAGGACTTGAACATTTATGCCACTTTTTTGAGGTTTTTTAAATAAAGTTGACCAGTAAAATATTTTTGACCTAAATATAGGCTCTGCGAATCTGTTAGATTTTAAGAATTGCCAGTGGTTTGTCTTGTTAGTTCACATTTTTGTCAAGGCAAGGAACGTAAGACTTCAAATAAAATTTTGAACCAAAAACATTTATAATGCAGTTCTGGTTTTTCTATTACTTTTTATACTGTATCTTAAAAGCATTAGGCTGAAAGAGTTTATTTTGGTGGTCAAAAAAATAAAATATGCTTCCACTCGTGTAACTATTTTAAGCGTTAAGAAGTAAAATAATGAAAGACAAGTTTATTGCTTTACTCAGTAAACAGGTTTTTAAAGGATATCTCAGTAGGCAAATACTTGGTGAAGATGACTTGATCTTTCATTGTTGCAACTCTTTAGCAAATATATTCTTGAAAAAGATTTTTCTGATTGTAATTAGTTTTGAAAGTGTAGAAAGCTCGTTATTCCTTGTAAGTATTCAGGATGTCTGCTTTTTTATGCAGTTGTGGAAAGAATGTAAGATGTTTTAATATATTCTTTGTTAATCTGAGAACTTGTTATTGAATCCTTTTTTTCATGTTGGGGTGGGAGGGAGGAACATCATAAAACATGTTTTTATTAAGGTAAGCAATGGAGGTAACAGTGCACATTTTTATAGTAATATTTCAAGAATAATAGAGTGTTTACCTTTAAAACTGGTTATGGTTCGTATGTATTTATAATTTTATCAAAATATTCAGCTAATGATTCAACAGTGATGTCATGTACATTTGTGGGGAGGTTAAGTGGTTCTTGGTTTTCTGATCTGAACGAGTCGTAATAGCCTTTCTTCTCTTTAAAAATATGCCCCAGCGCTTAATTGGTTCTACTCTAATCCACACACAGCACCCACTGGTGCTGAGAACACACAGACAAGAATAAAACATGGCCTTCCTTCCCTGGAGGCAAGGGTGTGTCATCCACAGGCCAACTGGCCACGGGGAGGGGGAGACAGAATTAACTCACCGGAAGTTGGCCTTGTTCCCGCTCAGTGTGGGTGTGTGTTCCATAATCTGGAACTCGGAAGTGAAGCTATTTGCCTTTTCTTACTACAAAAAATAATTAGATGTCATTCATAACAGATTTCTTTATAAATTGCACTAATTAATATTGGAACATTACATCAGTTTCTGATGTATCAATGTTTTTGCAGTAATTGTGAAAAGCATGGGTTTAAATAATGCTAATACGTTATTTAATAAGTTCTTTAACACTGGCCTTTTTAAGTTGTAAAGATGGGTTTTTCCCTTGTGGCTTTAGCACTTTAAGAAGTTTGATGTTTGTCTAATTTTCGCCATGTTTGTTCAGTGCTTCTCTGGCTACGGCATTTCCACACGACCAGGAAGAAACCGAACAGTCAGTGTTTAAATCTGGAGGAGAAAGATGAGTTCATGTGAGGCTTTTCAAAAATTCCTTATTGAGACAGTCATTCGGGAACCAAAGTATTTTGCTGTAAATCTGTAAAATAATTGAATTCAGTGCTCTTTGGTCATTTGTTAGTGCTGTCCAGATTTTCCAGTTAACATACTTGGTTAATAATGATATTCCAAAATGATCATTTCTTATTGATATTAATCCAAGACTATTCAAAACTTTCATTAAATATATGCTTATTGTTAAGAGAAAAACAAATGTGGCTTATTGTGTATATTTTGTTGTTATATCCTTAGCAGAATAATTCATTTGATTTTATTTAGGAATAAGCTTTTTTGGACTGAAAATTCATAGTCAAATAGGATTTCTGTGGAATGTTAATCCATTGCTTATTCGTATCCAAATCTGTTGTCTGTTTACTTTGCTTAAATCTTGACTAAGAATGATGGGAGTAAATAAATTTGTACTGTATTTTGTTTGGAGTCTCAGTCTCATTGGTATGTTTTACGCTTTGATACTAATGACCTATAGCATTTAAATTTCTGAAAGTGAAGATAAAACCCATCTACTTGGCTAATAATAACCACCTGCAAATTGTAAAAGATTTAATATTCCCCATCAGTTCCAGATTGCTTGTAGAATTGTTTGCACTAAAGCTTCACTAATTTGGGCACCAGAAATATAGCTAAAACCATATAAGCAGTAATCTGCCTGGCCATCTTTTTCTTTACTGTTCAAATTGGTATTTTTAAAAAATGATTGGAGGTGAATGCATAAAAAAATTCCATATCGTGATAAACTTTCTTAATTTTATAAGGCTTCCATGTTGTAGCATCTTTTTTCCTTCTAAGATGGCTCTTCCATTAAACTAGCATATGTTAACTTCATTATGGTATACTAGAGGTCAGGTGCACAGATTCATGCACTGGTGGAGTTCCTTGGCCTGGCCTGCACCCTCTCGTAATCTGGGACCCCTCGGGGGATGTCAGACTGCCAGTTTCGACCTGATCTCCGCAGGCCAGCCAAGGGACCCCACCAGTGCATGAACCCGTGCACCAGGCCTTTAATATGCATCTAAGATCTTCAGTTAATCTCTTCCCATCCTCCCCCTTTCCCCTTCCCTCTGAGATTCATCAGTCTGTTCCATGTTTCCTTGCCTATGTGTTGAGCGTCTGCCCCCTGATGGTCAGTGCGTGTCATAGCTACCTGTTGATGGCCAGTGGCTGTGGAAATAGGGAAGGAGAGATGGACCATACGTTCTTTTACTGGTTCCCTCCACCCAGGTTTGCACTTGCCTCTTCTGATGGTTTCAGTTTTCTTGCCCTGTTACCCTAAACTAGGCTTTCTAGGGAACCTCTGGCTAAAGTTTCTTGAACACACTTCACCAGGAATAAGTGGCACACTCTTTATTTGGGTCTCCTTTAGCCTCTTACTCCATTTCCACCAAATAAATGTGTTTTAAAATTTTACATCTGCCCTTTCTTAGTAATTACAAGCTTTTCCAGGTGTGAGATTGTTGCATTCCTGTCACATCCTCCTGGGTCCTGGGTCCACACTCCAGGCAATGTCCAGCAGGTATTTTGTACCTAGCCAGAGAGGCCAAGTCTTGGCTCTGTTAATGTCGGCTCTTGTGAACTACAAAGCTGAGTGGCAGGTATTCTTTGTACAAGGCTTAAGTCTGGAGAAAACTGTCCCCCTGTTGTCATAGAAGCGCTTTGGAAAGAAAGCATGGTGCGGCCCCCCTGTGCATGGATTCAGGTCTCATGCTCAGCCATGGGCTCCCATCCTTGGCAGTGGGGTCCTTTGGTTGGTTAGCTGACCCCATGGCAGTGCAAACCTGCATTTTGTCCAGCTGAGTGTCTTAGCTTGGTGACATCGTTTCTTCTAGAAGACACTTCCCAGTCCAGGCTAACATAGTGCCCCTGTGTGTTCCCAGAAAGCTCTGGGATAGCCCAGTCACTGGCTTCCATGTTGCCAACCTGTGGTCTGTCCAGCAAGAAGGGGACTGGCCCATGGGCAGGGACTATTGGTCAGCTTTGTGTTTCCATGGCCGGGCAAAGGGGAGGGGCCTAGTAAGTGTTTGATAGATAAATACAGCGAAGAAATCTTGTCAGAGGCGAGAGACAACCAGCCCATTTATTTTCCACTACTACTAGAAGGAAACTAGCTGAATATCTGCATATACTTCCCATATTTTCATTCATTTACTCAGAGACCCAGGGAGTGTTTTAATTTTTATATGGTTCCCAGGAAACTCCAGGAGGAATGGAAATGTTCAGGTGGCTAGTCTTAGATGGGCGAGTCCTTTGGATTGCAAATGCCATGCCCGTGTTTTGGGTGTGTGCATGCTATGTGAGTGTCTCTGGCACTGCTGAGGGGCCCGTCATGTCACACCGGTGTGGCAAGTATCATAGTAACAGCTAACAGTGAGTGTTCACTACCTGGGAAGCATTGTGCACGTGTGTGTGCCATGTGTGTGTTAAGTAGTCACAGGCTGGTTTTCCTCCCATATTGTAACTTTTCCTCTCTCCTTACACTTCCCTATTCTCGGCCCTGTAATCTCTTGTCCACTCACTCTGGAAATTCCTGTCATTCTTTGACTTGCATGGCCTCGGTAATTTGGAAGATTGTGGACCAGTCACCTTATGAGCATCCTTTCACTGGAGTTTGTCTGCTATTTGCACATGATTGGACCCACGTTATGCATTTTTGTACCAGAACATCACAGAGGCTGTGTTTTTGCATTTCAGCCTTTGGGTGGCATACTATGCTTGGTTGTCCCTTGTTGGTCATTTCACTAAGATAATTTCTGCCAGCTCTCTGCACTAGGCTTCTCATCCTTTTTAGTTAATATTTTGTGGGGAGATATTTTTGAGACTATCCATTCCTCACCTTGATTTTACCCACAAATTTTAGCATCCTTTGATGTTTCTTGGCTGGATTTTTTTTTTTTTTTTTTTTTTTTTTTTTTTGCTCTCTCCCCCCCCACCCCATCCCCTGTCTCCCAGCTGGATTATTTTTATAGTCGTTGCCAAATGGAGATTTTCTCATACCTTCGTAATGTATTCTGTGGGTTATAATCGGTTGCCATCATTTTTTAAGTTTTTATTCTTAAACTAGTGCATGAAATTTGTGCACTTGGTGTGGCGTCCCACAGCCCGACCTGTACCCTCTCCCAGTCTGGGAGCCCATGGGGATGGGGCTAAGCCATCAGTTGGGCATCCTTAGCACTGCTGTGGAGGCAGGAGCGGTTCCTGCCATAGCTCTACGCTCACCAGCCATGTGCCTGGCTTCTGGCTGAGCAGCGCTCCCCCTGTGGGAGCGCACTGACCACCAGGGGGCAGCTCCTGCATTACATGTCTGCCTCCTGTGGTCAGTGCATATAATAAAGATTGATTGTTTTGCCATTACAGTGTAGGTCTATTTGCGTATTAGCCTTTTATTATAGAGGATTGTCCTCGATTTAGCCAGTGAGAGCATTTAACTGACTTCTCTGACTTTTGACATGCCCTCCTTTTTTTTAAACCTGGTATTTATTTTAAAAATTCGGAACGCTTCATGAATTTGCATGTCATCCTTGCACAGGGACCATGCTAATATTCTCTGTATCACTCCAATGTTAGTATGTGTGTTGCTGCAGTGAGCTCACAAGACCCCTTTATTCTTTGAGTATTTTCTTACACAAGACATTCCAGACTCATCTTGTTCTTTCCCTGCCAGAGCCCTGAAATTAGCCGTTTAGCCAAGGAACATGATTGCTTTTAGTGGAGAATATTGTTTGAAAACCAACATACTGGCATTAAGTATGCATTCAGTGGGCAGGCATAGAGGGAAATAATAGACACACACACACACACACACACCTGAATTTATTTCTGAACTAGAGGCCCAGTGCATGAAATTCATGTACAGGTAGGGTCCCTAAGCCAAACCAGCGATCAGGATTGATAGGGGCCTTCCAGCTCCCAGCTGGGGCCTTCCTTCATTCCACGTCTCCCCCTGGTGGACAGCGCACATCATAGCGAGGGATCGAACTCCCAGTTGAACTCACAAGGGGATAATATGCTAATTAGGCATATATATATATATATATATATATGTGTGTGTGTGTGTGTGTGTGTGTGTGTGTGTGTGTGTGTATGATCTAGACCTATCTACCTGAAGTTTGGCTTGGATCTTTTTTTATATCTTCTATGTCTATATTTCTCATGTTAGATATTTCCTCTAGCTTTTTGAACACATGGGATTCAGTTATAACGACTTTTTTAATCTCCTTGGATACTAATCCTTGCATCTCTTCAATTTCTTTCTTTCCTCCTCATTCTGGGTAACATTTTCCTTCCTCTTGGCATATCCCGTAATTTTTGTTGGGTGGCAGAATTGTGAACTTTGCCTTGTTGAATGCTGGGCACTGCTGTATCCCTATAAATGTTCTGGAGGGCCTTAGTTTGGCTCAGTGGATAGAACATTGGCCCTTGGACTTAAGGGTCCTACATTCGATTCCAGTGAAGGGCATGTACCTTGGTTGCATCGATCCCCAGCTCTCCCTGGTCAGGGTGCCTACTGGAGCAACCAATTGATGTATTTCTCTCACACTGATGTTTTTCTGTCTCTCTCCCTTGCTTCCACTCTCTCTAAAAAATTAATGGAAATATATCCTCTGGTGAGGATTAACAAAACAGTTATGAGGTTTGTTTGGGGGACATAATTAACTTGGTAGAATCATTTCTATCCTTTTAGGTTTTCACCTAAACTGTGTTAAGTGGGATCTAAGAAGCATTTAATTGAGATCAATGGCTCCATCACTGAGACCACATTCCTACCCATTTCCTACGGGTTATTTCAGGCTCTGTGTGAGCTCCTGGGATTGTTCCCTTTATTGCAATCAGGTGGTCCTTTCCCAGCCTCCGATGTCTCCTCACAAGCACATGTTGATATGTTGCTGCTGGAGTCCAGTTGAGTTCAGACATGAAGACCAGTTTCTGTTCACTAATCGGTGACCACAGATAGATTATCGAATAGCATGTAATGTTTGAGGTTATTTTTGTCTGATTTCTCAGTAAAAGAAAACATAAGGTGGAATATACCCTACTAGCCCTTTCATTAAAAATAAAATAATTTCCCAGAGTCATAGAAGCATGAATAGTTGTACCTCAGAGGGGAGACAGGGGAGGGTGGATGGGAAGGGATCAACCAATGAACTTGTATGCATATATGCATAACCCATGGACACAGGCAATGGGGTGGTGAGGGCCTGGGAGGATGGGGGTGGGCTGGAAGAAGTTAATGGGGGGAAAAGGAAGACCTATGTAATACTTTCAACAATAAAGACTAAAAGAAAAAAATGTACTCCAAGTGCTGTTGGGTCTCTGAGAGGGCAAGGCTCTGCTTCTAGCCCCTGCACATCCATATTTTAGAAACACTCAGGGAATATCTCCTGGTTTATAGATGGCTGTAGGGTTATAGATTTTTTTTT